GGACCTTGATCATCCAACGTAATACCATAAGAAAAGGACTGACAGTGATGGGAAACTATGGGGGGGAGGGGAAGGGAGATGGGATTAACGGTAGTAAATATCTGTCTGGGGACGAGGAGACACCTCTTATCAACAAGGGTGCCTGAACAAAGCATATTTGTATACCTAACCCTTAACTGTACCCCACAATATCATAATAAAAAACATTGATTATAAAAAATAAAAATAATAAAGTAAAAAAATAATAAAATAAAATATTCAAAACAAAACAAAAACAGGGTTCTGCCATGGGTAGGGAATAAGCCAAAGCTCCAAGATGTCCAGTGACTTCCCCAAGGTCACCCACCCCAGGTATGACAAGTGTAGAACCAGAACCCAGGCCTGTTTCTTCATTTTATTCGAATCCTGTGCTTCTCCTAGCACAAGCTAGACAGTGCTTCTACAATGAGCTCAAGCCTGAATAAGCAATAAGACAATTAGAGGCAGACACTGGTCACAAATATGCTCTTTTATCTTACCTGATTTTCAGGGGCATAAGTGAAGTTTTAAAAAAAGAAAAACTACTTGATATGCAAAGTAAGGGAAATAACCCAGCTTCGTCCTGCCAACAGGACTGTAGAGTGTGAGAGTAAGGAGATCATCCTTATAAATATTAAAATTTTACAAGCTGATCCACCTTCCTGCCCAGGAGGTAAACACTTAGTTACTAAATAAATATTTCTTTACTCTGCTCACTAAGAGCTCCGTTTCTGCAAAGAGCAGTAATATGTCCCAGTTTATCTGCAATTGGGACTAGAGTTACAGGCATTCTCCCAATTCTTCTCTGAATAATCTGCCATCTAGGTGACACATACATGTACTGTGCTATTGTCTACTACGTAATAAAGAAATCTTTGTCACATATACTTTGTACATCTTTTTCTCACTCACCTCTTATCTTTACCTCTTTATCATAATGATACAACCAAAAATACATGCCACAAAGAAAACAAAAACAAGATCACCTTTATTTCTACCACCTAAACACAGCATGTAAAAGTTTTATTATATATTTTCTGCTAGCCTTTCATCCCTATAATTTGACCCTGTATATGTGTGCATGTGACATATATGCGTGTATTTATATATTAAAATGCACATTAAGCAGTTTTAACTTATATTTTTACTTATTATATATCATAAGCATTGCTCCATGCTAAGCCATACTTTTAAAAACTGAGTACATGGTTTACTGTAAGATGATGTTCCATTATTTATTTTTAGTATTTTTAAGTATTATCCAATGCTATGATTATAAGCATTATTTAATAAAAGGTTATATTATCATTAGAATCATCCTTTTAGGACAGAGTCCCTAAAGTAGTCTTTTAAGACAGAGTCCCTAAAGGTCAAGGTCTTTGGCACATCCCCTATGAAAGCTCTCTTCAACAGGTTACAGCAACTTTCAGTGTTGGCATTTAAAATAGAGTGTGCTTGCTGTCACCAAGCATACAGAAGAAGTAAAATTGATTTGATGTAACAAAGTAAGCCTTAAATGAAAATCTGCAAAAAATCTTGTCTGGAAAGTAAATTTAATTACCATAATTAACAGTGAAAGGCAAAAGAAGCACCCTGCACCACTATTATTATATTACTATTAACATTAGGAAGGTACTTCATTTGTCAAAGTATTTTATAATCATTTATTAGTTAATCCCCATAATGTGTTTGGGAGGCAATGAAGCTATTTATAGCTGGATTTTCTAAGCTGAAAGTCGTTCAAAAGTCCTTCTGTCTTGATATCTCAACTCATTATCACCAGCATTTCAATTTCAAGAGCATTTTCATTTGTGTAACTTCAGGGATGGGGAGGACTTTAGTGATCATTTGGTCCAAGATGATCAAGTATTCACTGACATAGGACGCAGAATTTTCATAACACATACTAAGAATTTACTCAAATCCTCATGTCTCTCTGAAAGTATGACATGCCATCAGCAGCTGATAATAATACTACTGCTATTTTTACATTTATCATCTTTGTGCTGCACAGTTAACTGGAGGAGTAAACGTTTATACTCGATAGGATTCTTACGCTTTCAATAACTATTAGATTATTTGATTTGTAGCTAAAGCAACAGGGATAAAGTTTACACACAACACCACCAGAAGTTTTTATGACCTTAACATTTTTCACAATTGAGAAATTTCATAACTGAATATCAAAATCATGCAAATATCCTCTTCTAAAAAGTGAGCTTTTTGATTCTATCAGGGAGTGTCCTGAGTTCTTTAATGGAGACAAGGAATAAATATATCAAGGGCTGAGAACCACCCACCTAATTCATGGCTTAGTGTACAAAATACCAGGTTTCAGGTGGCAGATGAAGGCTGTAGAGCTGAGAGGAGTCTTCAGACTGTAGAGAAGATGTGGCATGGCAGAAAGGGCATCTCACTTTGAGTCAGAAGACAGTAGGCCGAGCCCCATTTGGCCACTATTTGGGACTCCCATTTCCTCCTCAAATGAACAACTGCAATCACAATTCCAACTGGACGGAGCTATGAGGAAGACCCAGTGGCCTCTTTTGCTCACTGACACTGTTATATATGTGTATCTTGCTCAATTCTCCAACCCCTTTCCTGCTCCAGGATGGCAATGAATTTGAAGCCTGGCCAACCTCCTGCAGGCACATAAGAGGTGGCACAGCAACAGAGTCACACAGGTGAGTTCGGAAGAAATGACTGAGTTAATAAATGTTTTAGATCAAATAAGTTTTGGGGTGAACTGAGTCACAGCAAAAGCTAGCAGGCTAAAATAATTTTTAAAAAAACCTATAGTCTAAAGAGTTTTCCATTTGTTCCACTATATAGCTACTGAAAATTAGTCAGGTAGTGACATGAATGTGAAACTGAACTAAGTCTGGGCTGGATAGATTAGCTAACTGATTGAATACATATTTTCAAGGTACTTTATTAATGGATTCCCCCCGATTAACTTGTTAAATCAGTAAAGATTTGTTGAGCATATATGTCAGGTACTTTGCTAAGATACTAGGACATATAAGAGTATACGTCAAGAGTTCTGTCCATAAAAGGTCACATTCTACTATAGAAGATGTACCATGAATATATAAATAAAACTCAATGGAATACATCTGATGATAGAAAGACACACAGGGTATTGTGGAATGGCAGATGAAAAGCCCCGACCCAGACTGAGGTTTAAAGTAGGGCTTCCTGTTAGAAAAAAAAGTCTATGCAAATTCTTCAAGGGTAAGAGGGATTTTGCCAGTTTGGGGGCAGAAAAAGATGTAGAAAGAAGGGAGAAATGAACAGACAGAGCAGCATGAGGGGACCCAACAGGCAGGACACACTGTAGGAGGTCGGGGGGAGCCACAGCAGGTCAGAGCTGCTGGAGCATAAAGTCCAATCAATGGGAGGAGAAAAAGTATGATGGAGAATGACCTCAGATCCTAAGGTCTGTGTGCCATGGTAACCCTTGAAAAGGAGAAGCTACTGGAAGGCTTTAAGAAATCAGATTTGCCTGCCTGAAGTATCACTCTAGAATTAGAGCAGATGGGTTTGAAGAGTAGAAACTGGAGAAGCAGAAAGGACACATGAAGGTGAGAGCACAGGTGGACATGAACTATGTCGTTAGCAATGGAAACAGAGAAAAGGGGTGGAACTGAAACCTGTCTAAGATGGAGAACCCACAGGCACTGATTATGGATGGGTTGGTTGGGGAATCAAGAGAGAAGATGGAACCAACAGGGAATTCCAGTTTCTTGCAGGGTTGGTAGATCTGGGACATACACTATCACTCTTACCTCTTCTTATACCACTGACAGTCAGACTCAGGTGCAGAACTTTCCACTAATTTCTGTTCCTCGAGAGTTTTTCATGACTATGCCTACTTTTGAGAGCCTGCTGGATCCTGAATCGTTCACTCAGTACATTTCCATACCATTGGCTTCATCCACACTTTTCATAAGAATGTTAGAACAGAGCCAAGGGCACTAGCTGGAACTATAGACTCCACTCTGGATATGATCGTGAGTACATACAACAATCAAAACAGTAAGAGACAGAAGAAAAGTCCCATGAGAAAGTAGATGCAAATGGCAGGAGTTTAACTCAGAGGAGAAGGTCCCAGAGAGGCATTATCACTTCCAAGTGGAAGAGGAGTCAATCCTTTGGATGACTGGTCTTGGGTGATCCACAAGGGTCACTGGATATCATCCACAGGTTGGAAAACTTCATTTTAATGTATGGCGGGACTTTTTTTGAGTCAGAAATGCCCAGAGATGGGGTAGGTCACAATGGAATAGAGTAAGCAACCTATATTTGTTTTCTAGGGCTACTACCACAAGATACCACAGTCTGGGTGGTTCAAACAAAAGAAATATATTTTCTCACATTTCTCAAAGTCTTTACCTTTTGAGGGCTCTCTCCTTGGCTTGCAGATGGTCCCTCTCTCAGAGCGAGTTCACATCGTCTTCCCTCAGTACCTGTCTGTATCCTAATCTCCTTTACTTAAAGGATGTCGGTCATATTAGATTAGGGCCTACCGTAACCCCACTGTAATTTAATTACTGTTGTAAAGACCCTGTCTCCAAATACAGTTATATTCTGACATTTTAGGGATTAGAGCTTCAACATAAGAATTTGGGGGACACAATTCAGTCCACAACATAACCTACCAACACGGTGTGTAAAAAGAGAGGTCTAGTGAATGCCAGATAGGGGAAGCCAATATAGAAACTGAAGCACTGAGTTTGGGGTGTCCTTGAAGGTTGCTATAGGTCTGGGAGCTACAAGGCTAAACATGGTGAGACAGCATCTAATTGCGGCTATTAAACACTGTTAACACAATAATCTCTCCAGGGCTTCAGACAAAAATTACATTTTCATGGCTGCTTGAATGACTGATGGAAAATTCTGCCTTATTGAACCCTTCACCAAGGAAATATGCAGGCAGGCAGTGACAGACCTCAGTGCACAACACACAAAGTTGTCCTTACCTATGAAACAGGACGGATTTGACCAGAGTGACGACGTCCCGGCTGGCATTGTATCCGGCACAGACGATAGCAACGTGGATTGTCTGGGAAGAAAAGAAAATGAGGTGAGCCGTCAGACAGACGGAAGAAGGCCTTCCTGGTGCTTCAGATCACACAACAAGAAAAACTGCCCTGATTTCTTGTTGGGATCATTAGAAAACAAAGGGCAGAGTCTGTAGCTGTGGAAAATAACTCAAGACAGTTTTATTAAGCCCTTTTTAATCGGTTTATGGAGCTATCATCATTTGGAAACCATTAAGGCTCTTTTCAATTACATTTGGGGGACAAGAGAGATGGTGATTGGCTCAAATAGGCAAACAGTGAGTCCCCTGCCCCCAAGCTAGAAGATGATGACAACTGATAGAAGAGAGAAGAAATGTGCCCTGAAATGATGAGCCAACAATTGCACATCTCAGACAGAGAAATTATGGCTCAGAGATTGTGAAGTATTCTCACAAGATGTCACGGGTTAGGGTCAACCTGGTAACAGGGCCAGAAGGACCAATGAACCCCTATGTACCCCATTATTCAAAGAACTGAAGGGAACCTAATGGGTCAGTTCATCTAAGTAGTCAGAAGCATAGGCCACAGACATAAGTCTTGGTTCTGTCCTTTAACCCTGGGTGGACCCTGGGAAAGTTGCAGGGTCAGCTGTAAATAAAGACCCTGCCATACAAGTGGCGTGACATGAATCTTGCAAGATGGTGGTAAGGAAAGAATGATACCAAGAATGGAATCTGTTGCCCAGCACACTACCTTGCAATCAGACCAAAAAACATCCTCCAGATCTATACTTCCCAAACAGGGTGCTTTGGTACCCTGGTGTGCTGTGATAGAACTCAAGGATACTCATCTCTTCAATCCTGCAAAGCTACTGGGAAGGGCTGGTACCTTCCAGCTTGGCTACTCCATACTGTCAGCAACTTTTCTATTTTCCTTGTGCCATTCGCTGTGTGTGGCACCACTTGACAAAGATTGGAAAAGACTACTCTAGGGCATCCTAGAGAAGAAGTCATCCAGCCTCTCAAAAAATGAAGAGTTCAAGATCACACTTTTCAATGCCATACCTTCTACTGAAGTGCAGCCTTCCTTGAATGGCTACCTACCTCCTGACACCCACTCTAGATGTCTTCTCTCCTGGGAGTATGGCACAATGATATTCCCTCCAGCACTCAACACTTCCATTAAAGAGAGAGCACTTAAGAGATGCTGCCTCTTTTCCAGAACTACTGACAGCCCTCACTCCCATGGCATGGCTTTCAGACTCCCCATTGTCTTGATTAGCCACATCAAAATGCAGTAGACTGGTATCTGGGTCACATTCATACAGGTTTCTGTGACAATGACATCTAGTTCCCAGGCCTCCTTCAACACCCCACCTTCTGACATCACCATGAGGAATTTGCCCCCCTCAGGATATGCCATCTAACAGCTCTGAATACATATCCATGACTTCTCTAATCCCAATGACCTTCACCCTGCCTTGGCTACCTACCACCAGTGCCAGAAGCTAGACCTCAGTTTCATCCAGAATCTCATTTTCTCAGAAATCCTATAATGATGGGCTTGCCACACCTGCAGGATTCTCAGAGCCTCACATCCACCATATCTGCTCCTAATCCTCTGTAGAAGGTCCTGTTACCTGTCTTTCGGGCCCAACTTGCTGGCCTCCACTAGGTGCATTTGAACCATCACCTCCCCATACGCCCGGCCCCCACACTCGAAATGCAAACCTCCAACCCAGATGGGTACCTGGTACCAAGAAGGAAGAGCAGGAGGGATTCAAGAATGGAATAAGCAGCTTAATGAGAGCTGATATGTACTGAGCAAATCACTGCATTCCAGGCACTGTGTTTAATATTCCATATAGATTATCAGATTTCAGGGTCACAGTAATATGAGACAGGTATAATATGATCATTTTAGTATCCCAAATCAGGAAACTCAGGCTTAGAGAGTTGGGATCTGAATTCTGGAGCACAGATTCTTCACCCTATCGTAGTCAGAAACGCTCAAAAGATCTTTAAAAAATACTCTGTGCCCCGGCCCCACCTCGGATCCATTAACTCATAATCTCTGATGCCCAGTATCTTTAAACACTCTGCTGGAAGGCAATGGCTCTCAACAGAGGGCACCTTACACCATAACTGCCCCTCCAGCCCTCAGGACACTTGGCTAATGCCTGGAGACATTCTAGGTTGGTGGAGGTTGGTGGGGAGGACTTCTGGCATCTGTGGGTAGAGGCCAGGGATGCTGCCCATCCTATAGTGCACAAGACAGCCTCACAACAAAGACTTATCCTGACCAAAAGGTCAGGAGTACAGCAGTTAGGAAACCAGGTATCAGGAAGACGAAAAGGGGTGATGGCAGAAAATGGGGAAGGGGACAGGGCTCAGGTCCCCTGCGTTTTCCACTGCTACCTTTTCCAAGTCTAATTTATGCATGTTTTAATTTTTCTGCCTGTAAAATGAAGACGCCATTGCTTATCTCTGATAATATCTGCAAAAGACTCAGGATGAAAAATTATAATGCAGATGCAACTGTCACCATTTAAATCATGAAGGAAATGAATAGGAAAGTGCCAGCACATGGGAGACATGACTGGGAAGGGGACTGAGACGGGGGAAACATGCTGAATCAGGCTCTTGTGAATCGCAAATATGAGATATCAAACTTTGTCTTGGCTTCAGGGTTCAGAGACTTTTTTAAATGGGCCCATTAAATGTAAGCACAAGCACGCACATTCTCAAACATTTTACATAATTTTCCAATCTCTTTAGTTTCATCGAATACACCTGCCACCATGAATAAATTCATCATCTGGAGCCGTGGCAGCAGGGCCTGACCACCCAGGAAAGCAGAAAATCAAGAGTGTCACCGGATACATGCTGGGAGGTGTCTGGGGTGACCCAAAATTGTGCAGGCCCAGGAGTGAACCACAGGATGGGGCAGGGGTTGTAGCAGGAACTGGGAGAGCAGGAGAGAGGGATCGATGTTCCTTGAAAGAGCAGGGTCACAAAAATGATCTTGCCACGATGATTTTAACTTTAGGTTTGGAAGCTACGGAGTTCGGGTTTTTATATTTCTTAGTGTGGTGGATCAAAGATGGTCACAAGTACTCTGACACTCCTCTTATCAAAAGGTGGGGTCTGAATGCCAGATTCTGATCATTGGCCCTGCATGTATATACTTTGAATTACAGCCCCGTGTTGTGTAAGAGTGAGGTATGTTCTGAGAAATGTATCCTTAGGCAATTTCGAATTGTGAATATCACAGAGCATACTTACACAACCTAGATGGTCTGACCTGGTCCACACCTAGGTCATATGGTACAGCCCACAGCTCCCAGGCTACAAACCTGAGCAGCTGTACCGAATACTGCAGGCAACAGGAACACAATGGGAGTATTATCCATCTAAACCTTTCTAGACATAGAAGCGGCAGAGGAAAAATACGGTAGAAGGGATAAAAATGGGACACCCGTATAGGACACTTCTCATGAATGGAGCTTGCAGGACTGGAAGTAGCCCTGGGTGATTCGGTGAGTGAATGTGAAGGTTTAGGCCATTTCTACAGTAGAATTCACACAAAATGTTTTTCCTTCTTCAAAAACAAATTAACCTTAGCTTACTGTAACTTTTTATTTTATAAACACAAACACATTGTATAGATGTATAATATCTTCTTGCTTCATATCTATTCCATAAACTTTACTTTTTCTGTTTTGAATTTTTTAAAAAAAATTTTTTTAACTTTTCAAACCTTTTTTTGTTAAAAAATGTCACACACACACACACATGAGCCTAGGCCTCCACAGGGCAGGATCATCAGTATCACTGTCTTCCACATCCATATCTCATTCCACTGAAAGGTCTTCAGGGATGATAGCATACATGGAGATGTCATCTCCTGAGATGACAATGCCTTCTCTGGAATTCCTCCTGGAGGACAAGTCTGAGGTTGCTTTACCAGTTAACTTTCTTTTTCCATAATGACAAGAGAGTACACCCTAAAATAACGATAAAGAGTACAGTAAATACTATACGATTACCTGTAGCATAGTCACTTATTAGCATGATCGGGTATTATGTGCTGTAATAATTGCATATGCTGGGCTTTTATACAACTGGCAATGCAGTAGGTTTATTTACACCAGCATCTCCACAAACATAAATAATTTGTTTTGCCATGACATAAGAAAGCTGTGATGTCATTAGATAATAGGAATTGTTCCGCTCCTTTATAACCTGATGGGACCAGTTTCATATGTGTAGTCTGTCATTGATAGATGTTGTCATCATACAGTACATGACTGTACAGATGTAATACTGGTCTTTCTTTGTCTCAAAGTCTGGTTGGAGGATGTGATGATGTTCTCATTTGCCACTCCAAACTCAATTCTCTACCCTTCTTAATTGTTCTGGGCCCCAACAGCCTGACCTTTGCCTTTGGAGACCAAATTACCTGGGTTCATTCTACTGCTGGTCTCTGGCTGAGTTTGGTCAGTGGTAGGCACCAGTGCGGGTCTGAGAGGTCAGATTTTCCTGGCTTTGCCAATGCCAGTGTCATGAATGGAGCTTGCAGGACTGGAAGTAGTCCTGGGTGAGTCAGTGAGTAGTGAGTGAATGTGAAGGTCTAAGACATTTCTGTACATGATAGTCAAATTTACAAAAAATATTTTCCCTTCTTCAATAACAAATTAACCTTAGCTTACTATAACTTTTTACTTTACTTTACTGTAACTTTTTACTTGTATAGCTGTATAATAATATTTTCGCTGGGTTCCACAACACCTCCTGTCTCTCTCTCCTTTAAGCCTCAGGGTTGCAGGGACCCTTTCTGGGAGACACTGCTTCCCCTGGTCAGCTCCTCTTAGCCCTGCCCACACCCTGGTCTTTCATGTAGTCGTTTTCATGCTTGAGCATGTAGGCTGTATCCTACCAGGACCTGACCAAGACCAGTGACCCTTTCTCAGCATCCCATTCATCCTGATGGCTTGAAGGAAAGCACAGAAGACTTTTAGGCATTCACAGATATGTGTTTA